TACTTTTTGAAATACTTTAAGCAAGACGATACTTATTCTATTGTGAAAGCAAACTGTGTAGAAGTTGAGCAGCTGGAAGCTGGTACCTCCTGCAGAGTAAGGGATGGAAAGGACTTTCATAATGGCACAATAGTCACCTTTGGTAACACTGTACTTTAATTTTTAGTCAATAGCTGCACATATAATTTTCTAGGAGATAAGAAAGATGTAAGTAATGCAGCAGGTGATATTATTGAGAAGATTGAGAAAGAGTCAGCGGAGAATATGGAGAAAGAGTCAGCCAAGAATATGGAGAAACAGTCAGCTGAGAGTATGAAGAATGAGTCAGACTACAAAGCGTGGCACAATAAAAAGGAAAGCTAAGAAAAGTGAGATGGTATATAGTATTACTAACCCTACATGTAAATTCACATCTACATGTAGGTACCACCGAATAAAGAAACCTAAAATAGAAAAAGGAAAGGAAGGTGAAGGTACATAATGCATTAAAAAGGTAATTTATTATAAAAACTTAAAACAGAAATGCACAGTTAATAATGTTGCTGTTGGTTGTGCTACAAATAATGAATCTGCTGCAAATAATGAAGCAACAAGCTTCAACACTGGAGATCCTTCTAAGCATATTAGTATCCGTAAGATTAAATATAATAATAATTATTGCTATTGTTTTACTTGTTATTATTAGAAGCAAGAAAACCTTCAGAGAGAAAAGAGGCAGATTCCAGTGAAAGAATTCTTTGTCATAGCCCTCCACCACTTCCACCACCACTTGCACTGGTGGAGCTTAAAACTCAAGCTGCATGTAGTACTGAAACAGGTGAATTGTTTTACAAGTACCTGTACAAATTTAGTAACATTAATAACATATTACTTGATTATCACAAACAATTAATGTTGTTTTGTTTAGAGGTTATATACTGTCTCTAATTAGAAGAATGGAAATTTTAGAAGAACAGAGTATCATGGTGCCATCCCAATTGGGTTGCTTAACATACCATTTCTTTGGAAATACTAGCATGAACACAAGGGTTAGTATTCAGTAATAATTATTAGAGATTAGTAATATCCTATTAATATTCTAGGCAGGTACTCTGCTACATACATGAACAGTAATGGAAGTACTCCTAGTGCCCCATCTGCTTGTAATCTACCTCAGCATACTGATCCAGTAACTCCAACTAATGAGCCAGTAAAGGCAATCATCACCAATACTACTGTGCACACTGGTAATAGAAGGAAAATAGATTTTAATGCTCCTTTGTTGAATCCTGATACTGTGATTAATAAATATCCCAAACTAAAGACACTCTC